CTATTGCAACGAAATAACGTTCTAGTCATTTCGATTTCTATCGACGCATTTCTTTAACATTACACACATACACACACTGATAGACACGGAATTTCGCAAGAACGCTCTTATGAAAATCACCTCGACGCCAGTAATCATTTTCAAGCAACAAATTTCGAACCAAGGAATTAAATGTCCAATCTTCGTCACCAAACATCTTGCTAATAAAAAAAAGATCCTCCGATTCTTCTTACCGAATATTTCTCAAAATACTTCCTCGACACGTGTCCATGACTCAGTCATCCAAAATTGCTCCGCAAAATTTTTCCGCTTCACCGTCGAGAACGAACCGAAGAAATCGAACAGGACTTCTCGGTATGTCAGACGGGGTATTTCGCAATGAGCCTGAATTCCTACCCGATAGATCGGCCATTGTTACACACGTCTCGCGAGCCGGACACCAGCTTTGACATCAAAAATCGTCGAAGGGACAGTGGCTCTGCGTACACCGGAGTATGAGGGGGCATAGACGGCGTGACGGGGAGGAGGCGGAGAGAAAAATCGTGAGAGGAAGGAAAGAGAGAAAGAGAGAGAGAGAGAGAGAGAGGGAGTCGCACTCTAGCCGTGTGTGTCGTGAAAGTTATAGAGGTGAGCGGAGTAGCGAGGGGGGATCCAGAATCGCTTCTGGTACCTCTGGTAGATCGTGGCTAAGCCAGTCGCTCGCTCGCCGCTCACCTAAACGGCTTTCACCTGGCCGATTACGAAGATCCTTGGTCGTCGACCGCCTTCGAACGATTCTCCGCTTCTCAGCTACCACAACGTTTTCTTCCCGTGGAGCGTATATGAAGACGAGAATCCCGTGATCTTGTGGCCGGTGATCGGTGATCGAGCCAACAGAATTACAACGACGATATGTCCGGATGGTGAATCTTGTTTTCTGTTACGAGAATTAGTGTTTTTCTATGCGACCGGTGAGGATACGTTAGGAGAGGATTCTGCAGCGAACCGTCTGTCAAAGGGATCGTTAACGATCGGAGAACAGCAAACAGTGTGTCTATCGATCCTGTCGGACGGGACATTTTCATCGCCGGTTTCTGCCAGCCGAAGGAAGAGATTTCACTTTCGTCCAGCAGGTAAGGTGGTGATTTTCTGTGCTCGTTTTTCCAACGGCGATGCGCGGAGAAAGTGTGGGATCGGAGATGAGTGTGTTTTGGGAGATGAATCGCGCGCAGTAACCGCGTTTCGAACCAGTCGAATATCTTCTTCGTTTCTTTTTCTCGCGTGGTTCTTTCTTTTTCGTTTTCCTTTTTGTCACGGTAACGACAACTCGCTAATTCCGATCGATTCGTAACCGCGGTCCCGCGGCGAGTAAGCGATCCGTTTCTTTCGGAGGGAGAACGTTTCTCTGGCGTGACTGTTGACTTTCTATTGTGCATCGAAGCCACGAGGTTTCGTAATTTCGTGAATGATCCGATCGCTTCCGACCGCCTTGCTGTACGATGACAGCTGTTTTACTTGGAACGCTGGGATCACTTGGTAATGCACCTCCAACGATTTACGGTTGTGACGGAAACGCGGTGAAACCTGGTGAACGTGTAAATTATGAAAATAGTCGACCTACTAACTAAAATTTCCACTTGTTAAATTGTGCTAAATTAAATCTGGTTGATACAGGAAACTTGGTATTTTCTTAGGAAGTTATTCGAGTATCGTTATCGTGTCTTATTTGTCAAAGAGACGTAGGGTTGGAAGTTTCTGTTCGAAATGCAACGAATTTTCTTATCAATTTTGAATACTATTCCAAACCTTCTCAAGTGTTTCTGAAATAGAACGAGTTAAATTTAATTCTATATTAAACAATATACTTACACCAATTAGTAAAATCTCATGTGAAAGGTACACCGAAAGGACCTATTTTGCATTTGGATCAAATTTACAATATTTATCTCGTTAAAAATCTATTAAGACACCATATACCACATAAACAAGTCTGAAATTTTGTCAGTCAGTTATCTGTACCTGTTTTTCGCGAAATTGCGAAACTGGAGGAAGGAAATTATGGCAGGTGTCGCCCTAAAGCGCAAGGAAACCCTGTCGATTGCCTGGCAGGTCAGGAAAAGGTGCCCTCCGTTGGTTTCCACTGCCTAATAATGGGAGTGCGTGATTTCTATGTCAAGACTCGAGGCTGAGACTTCATTGATCATTTTGCAAGACAACACGCGAACGTATAACGGTATTGCAAAAGAGACACGAGGGCGTGAGGTAGAAATTAGATATTTATAGGACGTTCTGATGCGTTGCTCGTGCTGTATCTCTCTCTCTCTCTCTCTGTTCTCACTTTTGTCGATTACCCTTCTGTTGTTGTTTTTTTTTTCCTCGTTCCGGGAGGCTAATTGGCGGAGGATCGAGGAGATCGCCTAGAAAGCACAGTGCACTTCTCGTTCGACTCTTTAATCGCGGCACGTCGTGTGATCGGTGTTATGTTTTCGATTGCACGTTGCATAATTGGCAAGTAAGTGGCTCTCTCCCCTGTGTTCCGTCGTTGGCACGTTCCACGTGTCCCTTTGTTTTTGATATTGTTCGTTTTAACGGAATTCGCTTAAATGGAAGAGGTGTAATTGACGATGATCAAGATCTGTATGATCGTCGAGTACCACTCTTGGCTTCGCTTTATCTTGGTGCGTGTTTTACGACGTTCTGTAACGAGTGGCTCGAACAATTGGTAACATGTGCTTTGTAATCGCGTCGTTGTCACAGGTCAGCTAACGAATCAATCGTGATCGATGGGCAATTATGTTTCGAAGCAATTAAGTTGTCTCGATTGAGCACGAGCGGTGTTTCAGAGTTTCGTTACATTGGGGGTGAAATAAATTTGTTGATTAAGGAATTATAGATCGTTTCAGTATGGGACTTTCTGACCGAATATGAAGATTGAAACTGCGGTGATACGTACTGGTTTGGCCAAAATTGTGATATCTGCTTTTCTGTGTGTGTAGAATTTGGCAAAATATGGTATCTCTGTGCCCTGTAATTTAGAAAAAAGGAAAGATGGAAATTCGTCATATGTTGAAAATGTGATATGTCCAAGTTTCGTCAAAATTGAGAAATCCGCTTTTCTGTGTGTGTAGAATTTGGCAAAGTATGGTATCTCTGTGCCCTGTAATTTAAAAAAAAGGCAAGATGGAAATTCATGATATATTAAAAATATGATATGTCCAATTTCAAATTTTCGTTAAAATTGAGATATCTGCTCTTCCACGTGTGACAAGATGAAATCTAACAATTGGCGAAACACGACATCTCTTTGCTTCGTAGTTTAAAATAAAGGCGAGGTGGAAATTCGCAATATTTACAAACTGTGAAATTAGAAAAACAGTAGATACCACGTTTCGCCATCTGACCGCAGAAATTAATTATTTAAAAAAATATTAAAAAGAAGGTATCGATGTTACAACAAATATAACTTGGCTATTTATTATGCGTAATAAAATAGCTAGAGTTTGTAACAGAACTGATTCAGATTGGGGTATTAGGCACAGTCTCTGAGTAATATCGTTTTAGAAAAAAATCCTTATCAGCTAATGAAAAAGCTTTTCTTTGTAATAAAACTTCCTATCATCGCTTCCTTTGATCATCGACTAACAATAAATAGATCTCGATACTAGAATGATTGTTTACTTTAATCGTCGGCTAGAAAGGAGATTCGTTAATGAAAAAAACAAAGGCACAGTTGTTCTAGATATCGATCTACGATGCTTCGTTAATCTCTGCTTTTAGGAAAAATCGTTTCTTTCCATTGCTCCTCCAAGGCCAATGGATACAGACGTTGACCTGTGTATGTATAAACAGCACAATAGAGATCGTTATCACTGTTATCTGTTTATCTAGTTTCCGTCATATTGGATAGATGTATCGCTTCGAATCCGACAAACATAGTGGATTAAGATTATATTTTATCGTAAAAATTTCTATCGATAATAATGTTAATCGTAGAACAGATTGTACGTTGCAATGAACTGCAACTTCCTTCGATCTACAGTGAATCACAATTACTCTATTCGAGAACTGTTGAATGAAGCAAAAGAACAGAAATAACGGAACAGACAGAATTTGTGATAAATCTCAATAACGTAACGAACAAATCTATTCAATGTTCGTTTAAGACTGCTCGGTATTCTGCAGATTCAACGCACGTTCCAATATCGATTTAATATCCAACTTTGACGTTAAATTATTCATATTGCCTGGGTAATTTGATGTGAAATTTTCGAGTAAAAGCGGATTATTCATAATTGACTTTTATATTTTCTAATTATTTTCAATATTTGGATTTTTGAAATGTGCCGATTAACGGGTTAAATTTGACGTTAAATTATTCATATTGTCTGGGTAATTTCATATGAAATTTTCGAGTAAAATCATAATTGACTTTTATATTTTCTAATTATTTCTAATAATTGAATTTTCGAAATGTGCTCATTGAGAGGTTAAACGAATTAAAGAATCAATGACATCATTAGAACTTATACCTTATCATATCACAGCTTTTTAACGGGGAATCACTTCGATGGCATTTACAATATTTTGTTCTTCGCCTGTTCTTCACTTTGCGCGATTCTTCAAATGCCACAGTGCAAAATCATCGACATTAGGAAATCTAAGCGGAAATCGTACTTGATATCACAGTCTGACTTTTATTATAGTTCTTCCGAAGGCGATACCGTTCCTCTTGTCATTGAAAGTTCATCAGTTTCTCCAGTATCAAGGTAACTAATTCTCCAATAAAAATTGTATCTAATTACAATGAATTACTTAAACGAAAGGCGATACATTCGTCGGATACACGTATCGGCAATACACCTGAGAGATTTCAATATTCACGTTGCCGATGGACGTAATGCAACTTCTAAAGTTGCTTCAATCTAACGTTCGCTACGATATCGGGTATCAGTGAACGGTTATCTTCCTGACATCGGTTTCGAGAATCTTGTTTTCCCTTTCAGCAGTTACCGTAAGAAGGTACTTGAAGGTACATGCATAAGAGCGGAGTTTAACGAAATTGTGACTTTTTCGTCGAGTTCGAAAATTAATCGTTCAAATGGAAGAAAAGTATTAGTATGTAAATGTTTCGGCGAGCAAGATAAATGAAGATAAAATGTAAAGTATCGTGTTTCAAGAATTTGTGTTAAATTGTTAATTTAAAAAGTGTGTTCGACGTAATATTTCTGCTAAACCTCTGTGCCATTTTAAAATACAGGGTGGGCCATTTAAAACAGGCTATGATGGTGCGAGAACATTTTCATGCGGATTTTAAATGGTTTCCAAGGACGAATAAAATGGGGAAAAATTTGTTTGATGGAAAAAATGGTAAAAAATGAAAGGAGGTTTCATATTTGATGTAACATTTTAGAGTCCATGATCAAATTACTATGCAAAGCATAGGTCACTTTGAAGAAAACAGTTATTTACATTCTAAAACCATTTAAATTGTGTATAAAAATTTTCTCATACCACTATAGCTAGAGAAAATAATTAGTTAATAATTTGTACATACTTTATATTATATATAACTACTCATATTTGCACGTATTCGTGTAATTTTTCTAACTTGCAAATCTCGTATCTCACGTCATCAATTAATTATGTTGCCTTGATTACTTTTATTATTATTTAAAAGTCACTTAAAATTTTGAAATTAAGTTTAACCATAAGCGGATGTAGTTGATAGTGGAAAAAGTAAAAATGGATAACGATTAAGATAAGTACACTGATAAAATATACCCCGTTTATCTGACAATGATTTCTAGTAAAATATTACGTGTCATTTTACTGAAAAATCTGAAATGTAACATTCCTAAGAATTAGTCATATTTAATGGGAAACGAGGGAAACAATTTCAGTTTTCAATCTTCTTTTTAAATTACATTTTGCTTTCGAAATAATATATCTCGCTTATTGTTTATGTGACATGGATAAACTTGAAGCGAAGAATCCCTTTCTTTCTCACGGTTAAACAACACGCCATCGATGTACAATCCAATAATAGATTACGCTATTCACGACGTCGTCGTATCGAGTTAACACTCGCACTCGTGGTTATATTTACTTACAGATAATTACGAAATTAAGTATAGGTTGTTTATATAGAAGAAAAAATAAATTGGTATTTTTAAAAATATTTTTTAAATTATGGAAATGCAGTGATGTAGTGACAGGCAATTTGACCCTTTCGCGGCCAGTGCAACTCGAACGAAAATTGATCTCAAATTAGTATCCGTTACATACGCGATAATTAAGAAATTAGATAAATTAAGATAAATAAGAAATTCTGAAAACAGATAATTCACTCATGAAAGGGTTAACATATCAATGTATTAGTTCCTTTTTTCACAAAGTCTCGACGATTTTATCAATCAAAAACCGCCATACTTTATTAGAAAAAAAAAATTGGATATTGTCACAGATGGCAAAAGTCGTCGAAAATAATCTCCATTATTTTGAAAATGAAAATTGTCTGATTTCTTACAAATAAACATTAATTTTAATCCATGAAAACTCATCTCGTTAAGCGTACAACAGTATTTGACACATTTTCAACATCCACCTGCACGTTAACATCTAATAACTAGAAATGAATTCTGATCCAGTGCCAATTTATCGTTCTTAATTCATTAACAATGGTTACGCGAACCGGATGAAATTAATATTAATTCCCTGGTATTCCAAATTGATTAATATTGATGCTCTGCCCGACAATATCATTTTCATACATTTATGTATCGTCCTGATCATCGTCCATACGGCGGTGACCTATTTTTTCCCTCGTCGGTTTTCCTACGGCCAACTTTCGTGCAAGGCTCGCGCGAGGTGTTAAGAAAGCGATCGAAGATGACAAAGTCAAGTGAATCACACAGGTCGCGTGGGAATCACGCGTTCCGCCTAGAGACACAGTAACCCATCGGGGAGTCTAGGATCCGAAGGAGGAAGCGGGCTGCCGGATACGCGGGAAAACTGTTGATTCACAAAGAAATCACGAAGCCTGGAACCGGTTAATCGTGGCGCGTGTCTTTGTACATGTTCTCCCCGTCGGATCGATTTGAAATATCCTCCGTGGCAAGGTCATTCCGTTCTCCCTAGGCTCGCGTTCTCCTGTGAAACTGTCTCTCTTTTCTTCGTCCAGTGATTCACCCGCAGGAGACACCGCTGAAATTCCACGCGATTCGGTATATCAATCGTTCCTCTTTGACCTTTTTTCCGGGGGATCGAGGGAAGGAAGGAAGGTGAGAGTTCCCCACGTTCGGTTCATACTCCCGGATGACGGAGTTTAGTGTTTCTGTGACTCGTGCATGGTTTGAAGGGAGTGTGAAGGTTGTTTGTTCGAGTGTGGTGATCTATTCGGTAGAATGTATACTTGGGTATTTTATTGAAATTTCGTTAGGTGCAGGTTGAGGTGTGAGAACTCTTTTTGGAGCAGGTTAGGAGGGTTTTGATCGGTTTCCGTGGAACCATATTGGGACACTTGGTGAATGTGAAGTGTACTGAAATCTGTTGGATTTTATTTGGAATTCGTTGAAATTGACTAAAATTAGTGAAATTTTCGGAATTTTAAGCGTATTCAAATTTACTGAAATGTACTAAATTCTACTGAAATCTATTGAAACCTACCAAATTCTAAAACCTACCAAATCTACTAAAATTAGTGAAATCTACTAAATTTGAAGCATATTGAAATTTCCTTAAATCTACTGAATTCTACTGAAAGCTATTGAAATCTACCGAACTCTACTAAATTTTACGAAAACCTAAACTTTACATACTGAATGTGAAGCAAGCCTTTTTATAATTACAAGTTCAGTATAAAATTATTTGACACGCAAAAGTTATTGCAAAATTATTAAGACAATATATAACACTAACTTTGCCGAGGAAATGTAATTTAAATCACATAATACTTTCTACACGAACATAACGAGTGTCTTAATACTTACGAACGAATTTTCACAGTCATGATATTCTATTCGTAACGTATGAGATCTGTTTCTGTTTATTCGTTTCACTATTAAAAATACACAAAATTATACCCACAGACGGGAGTTCTACCATATTTTCATAAGACATAAAAGATGCAGCGATTACATTTACGAATTTTTTCCAGACGATTAATATTTCCCAAGTGAAAGCGTGTACTTTCCCTCATTATTCACTCGTGCGATTGGCATACCGTTACTATTCAATACTATTCCATGTCTATGCATTACAATACTGACTTTACACAATTTCAATAACCGACAGATTACCCTACAATCGCTTACTCAATCTACTTTGAACACATCTTTCCACTAAACTTCCGACTTTCTATTACAAGTGCTTTTCCAAAGAATTAACTTCCTTTCTTTTATGAAATCTCTGAAATAAAAACAAAATATTTATCGCCAAATATTCTTTTAAATACTCAATTATTTTAAACAATATTCTTTTAAATATTCGATTATTTCAAACGATATTCTTTTAAATATTCGATTATTTCAAACGATATTCTTTTAAATATTCGATTATTTTATTAATTAAATATTCAATCACTTCGAGCAATATTCTTTCAAATTCTCAATTAATTAATTAATCAAATATTCTTATCGCGTATTCAAAAGACAGCGAAATTATCACCGCGACTACTAATCTCGAAACCGGATAAATAGTCGAGATCGAAAGGTGTTTTATGGAGGACACGGAACACGAAATAATTGCTTCGTCAATGTAAACCTCTATAACCGCACCGCTATATTCCGACACGCTCATAATACGGCATTGTGCACGTTCGATTCGATCGGTTAGGTGTAGCGCGACATTTAAATCGCTGTCATCTGTGTCACTGCTACAAGGAAGCGGTACCGTTATCTCCTTCTGCCGAATAATCGAGTAGCACGCGCTAGCATGGAACGGTAACTGATTGAAAGTGCCACGATGTCGATCGATGCGAGTAAATACGTTTTCCAAATTAATTGCATTTCCATCTTACAAATTCATCCTTTCGATCCAGCGATCCTCAAGTTCCGAAACCGGCAAATTATCGGGCGGGAAAAAACGAAGAAAAGAAACGAAATTTCTCTGGCTGTATCGATGTCGAAATTTGAAGGAAAAGGTGGGGAGATTAGAACGTGAACGGACGAAAAGTAAAACGAAACACAGTTCGACGACAAACTTTTACCAGAGAAATCGCCGAAAAATGTTACACGCTCAACTTTAGACATTTCGGTTCGCATGATCGGTAAATAACGGTACACCGGCTCGTCCCGTATTGTTTTGTTCACAAATAAAATTGCACGTTCACGTGTACACGCTTTTGTAACGTTTGCGAAGATAAATGTTTTTTGGCAGAGGCAAACAACGTGTTCAAATATTTACCTCGGCAATTTAATTCATTTGCACGATGCACGAATGCGTAAAGTTTGGTAATATAGGATGGAGGAACTGTTTTGGAGATTTTTTTACGACGTGAACGTTTGATAGTTTGTCAAAAATTGTTACAAGAAGAATCTGGAAAAATACACCTGGAAACACAGGTGGCCAATTTGACGTGAAATTGTGAGGAAAGCTTATTAATCTGTCGTTTGCTGCTGTATTATAGAAGCAAGTTACTCATAAGAAAATACGATCAGTTTTGTTATTCCTTTTAGTAAAGAAATACGGTACATTTTAAATTGCAAGCTGAGGAGAAAAGTGGATTGTAAATCAGAATACGCTTACTTACAGATTTTTTTAAGAACCAGATTTCTATTCAAATAGTGGGTTTATTCCGACCTTGGATCATATAGAGAAAAGTAGCTTTGCAATTAAAAGTGCATTCTTGCGTAAAATATGTTTTCATAAATATTACATTCTACGCAGGACGAATGGGACATTCATCTGTATTCGTTTCAAATTATACGACATTTATCGTTCGTAATTTACCATTCTCGTATAATGGACTGCTGAAATTAATTGCTCGCTTGATAACTCTGTTAATTGCCATCAGTGTAAACGAACATCAATAAATACCTTTCAATGTCTATCTCATCCACTCAGTAATAATATCATATCAAAAGATTAATAAAAATCTCTTCACAGTATTAGAACACGATCCAAAAAGAATTAATTCTGAAAATCAGAAATTCTGTTTA